AGAAACATGTAAAAACCAAATATCTTTTGTATAGAAGTAAAACTAAAAAGTGAATGAATGATAAAGATTCAGGAGTGGTATCTCTAAGGTAGGAAGGGCAATGGGATTGGGGCCAGGCACACAGGGCTTTGAAAGTCCTGTTAATGTTGGGTCACTACCTGTTCTCATTATTCTTTAAATTATACAAATATTAATTTCACATTTCTTATTAATTAAGACAAAACCCCCAACTCCTAACTCTATACACACAAATAAGGGAAATAAAGAAGCCAACAGGATAGAGTTAATATTCTTATAAAAAAAGCATCAATAAATGACTAACCTCACTGCTTATCAAAGAAATGCTGGTAAATGCATCAATGCTGTATCATCAGTCTGACAAAGTTATACAAAGTAATACATTTGGGGAAGAAGAGAAACGCTGCCTTATCACAAAAAAAAAAGGGTTATATTTTTTGAGTAGCTACTATGTACTACACATTTTTCTAAGTGCTTTACATATATTAACTCAGTCAATCCCGACAGTCCTATGAGAGAATATTACTCTTAATCCCATTCTGAGGATCAAAAGCACATAGGATTAACTAATTTGACCAAAGTCACAAAGCAAATAAATTAGCAGAACCAGAAAATGGAAATTAATATCATCCTTTCAAAGGCAATCTTGCAATATTCATGAACAACCTTAAAATGTGCTACTTTTGACATGAAATTTCAGTGCTAAGAATGTATGCTAAAGAAACAGGTCTGGACACTACCTTATGTTCAATACCAGATAATTGGACTAACATGCAGATACGACGTTATTTATCTCCACGCCCTCCCAAAACACCACTAAAATCAAAGTTAAATGGTGAAAAACATACAAGGAAAAGTAAAAACAAATCAAAGGATATAACAAAGAACAAAAATTTGCAGGAGATGAAAAGCAGAGAAAAAAGTGGTGACTAAGCACATGAAAGGAAGAGAAGATTGAATGCCTACAGACAGCTATGCCAGTCAAAAGCAATCCAATTTGTACCCTAGAACCCCAAAAAAGCTTAGGAATTAAAGTAACTACTATGGTAAATAGAAGAATTTGTCATATACATAAAAAAACAAGCAACAAAAAAATCTAACTTTTGACTTCAGAGGAAACCAAAGGTTACATACAAAAGAAAATGTAATTATGTAATTATGTTACTTGGCTCAGCAACTAACATATACGAGTATGTTCAAAATAATGTAGACACAATAAAAAAATTGCACTAAATGTTCTTTTCTGTAAGTCAATAGATTCTAAAAATAATAAATCATGAAATAATAATTTTGTATGTTATGTAGAAATATAAAGAAAAATACCAGAAGAAATTGGTTAAGAGTTGAAAATGACTCTAGGAAGAAGTGTGGCAAGGAAATGCTATATTTAAATTTTTATATTCTTTGGTATTATAGAAAGTAATTTTAAAAAGAAAAAAGTGTTACAAAAATTACAGAATATTCAGAAAGACACAAATAAAATAAAAACCCCACATAAATCTACCAACCAGAGAATCACTGTCTACATTTTATCATCATGCAGCCCTTGTTCTAATTAGGCTCCTCCTAATTATACTGTTTTGTAATCTGGTTTGGATCCCACATTAGGGCCAGTGACGCTGCGCCCTCTACAGCTAAGATGGTGAACAACAGCTCGACCTAGAGCTGGGCTGCCGTGAGGCACCAGTGACAGCGTACGCTGCAGTGGGGCTGGCCGGCAGTGGGCATGAGCTTTCGTGAGCTGCTGTGAGCCGCCATGTGCGGCCGTCCAATTGCCAGCGAGCAACTGCCTCAACCAGGAAGAGCGCAATAATACCAACATGGGCCAGTGAAGTGACGTCCTCCACAACTAGACTGAAGAACAAAAGGACAGCAACTTGTCTGTTCCCCTTCCCCGATTCCCCAACACTATTCCCCTTCCCCAATAAAATCTTAAAAAAAAGAAAAAGAATAATGTTAACACATTTTGTTTATTGCATAACTAGTAAAATGGAACAATAATGTTTATAATTTTGCTCTCTACAACAAGAATTCCTTTGCTTGGGGAAAAAAGTGGTTTTACAATATATTACTAAAGAAATTAAAAATATATCTATAGGGCCGGCCGAGTGGCGCGATGGTTAAGAACTGGCTTGGGACGCCAGAGGGCCCCGGTTCGGATCCCACATATGAGGGTCAGTGACACTGCCCTCCACAGCTAAGATGCTGAACAACAGCTCACCCTGGAGCTGGGCTGCTGTGAGTTGCCGGTGACGGCGTAGGCTGCAGCTCCTGTGGCAGTGGGTTGCCATGGGCTACCGTGTGTGGCCAGCAGCCAGCGTGAGCGGCTAGCAGCTGCAGTGAACGGCCATCCAGAAGCCGGCGACTAATCTGCCTCGCCCAGGAAGAGCGCAATGATGGTGCCAACTTGGACCAGTGAAGCAAAGTCCTCCACAACTAGACTGAAGAACAAAACGACAGCAACTTGTCTGTTCCCCTTTCCCCAATTCCGCAATAAAAATTAAAAAATAAAATATATATATATATATATTATATATATATATTATACATATGGTTACAAAGTAGTATATACAGTATGATCCCTAATTTGCTTCTTAAAATGTAAATAACACAGGGTGAAAACAAGCTGGAAAGAAATACACCAAAAAATAAACAGTAGTTTTTTCTTGGTAATGTGATTATGGATCTTTATTTACTTAATGCGTTCCTGAATTTTCTTCAGTGCACTGGTATTATGGAATCAGAAAAGATACCTTTACACTCTTAAGAAACTGTCCAGTCAATGACAAAAATAAGATAGCAAGGGTGTGAACAGTTCAAAAGTGACATATCTGATAGACTTTTTTTGTATCTTTTGTGGATTTCCTCAAAGAACTTCCACATTGCCCTGAAACATTTATTGTTTGTAACTGTTGGGTCTTTTGTTCTTTCAATCAACAATTACTGAGCCTCGATTATGTGCCAGGCACTGCTCTAGATATGAGTATTTAGCAGTTAATGTAACAAATGAAGTCTCTAGCCCTGTTTGAAAGGGAACACAAATACTATTGGGTTGTTGGAAAAGTCATGATGTATTTTTTTCTATGCTTTTGTCGCAAAAATACGTCATAGCTTTTCCGACAACCCAATAAAAACACTTGAACGAAAATACTTTTAGTGGCAATACAAACACAAGTACATAACACACACACACAACTACTTTCAAGTGTGATTAAGGAAAGTAAAGAAGAATAAAACACTAGGGAGACACTAAGGTGGGAAGAGATAATTGTTTTAGTCAGGGTAGGCCTCCTGAGGAAGTGATATCTGAGCAGAGAACTAAATGAAGAGAGCTAGCCATATAAAGACATGAAAGAACAAGCTAGGCAGAGGGAACAGCAAGTAGAAAGGCCTGGAGATGGCAACGAGCTTGGAATGTACAAGAGTGAAAAAAAAAAAAAAGACCAGTGTGATGAAAGTGAAATGAGTAAGGGGGAGAGCAGTAGATGATGTACAGGAGGCAGTTAGGGGTCAGATTATGTAGGGCCTTACAGGTCCACACAGGGATTCCGAATTTATTCCAAATGATGCAAAGGCACTGAGTTCTTAAAAGATCACTTTGCCTGCTGCATGGTTAATAGATTGTGTGTGAAGGGAGACAGGAAAACCTGTGAGGAGATTATTACAGGTGTCCAGGCAAGAGACAATGATGGCCTGGACCAAAGAGGTAGGGCGAGAGGATGAGACGTGGTCTGAAATGGATATATTTTGATGGCTGACCCAATGTAATTTGCTGATGAATGATTTATAGGGAATGAGGAAGAAATCACTGATGATTTTTAGGTTTTTGGCCAAAGCAACTGGGTGAAAGGTGGTGCCATTCATTAAATTGAGGCTAAGTGGTACAGAAACAAGTTTATAAGTGGCAGAAATCAAGAGACCCATTTGCGACATGATAAATGTGAGACAATCATTAGATATTCAGGTCAAGATGTCAGGTATACAATCTTACCCACAAGGCTGCAGTTCACGTGAAAGTTGGGGGCTGAAGATCTAAAACTGATGTGAAAGGTACAGGACTAAATGTTATCTCCTAGGATGTGAGGGCAGAGAGAAAATGAGAAGAGGGACAAAGACAGCCCTGAGGGTTGTCTTTACTTTAAAGGTCGTGAAGGGGGAGGCAAGCGACCAATGAGATGTCCCAGAAGCCAAGTGAATACAGTGTTTCCAGTAGGAGATAGTGATCTCCTGGGTGAGATAGAGATTGCCTCCTAATAAGTATAGTAGGTAAGAAAAGGAATGAGAACTTTCAAAAAGGGAGCTTCAGTGGAGTGATGGAGAAGAAAAACTGGTTTATGTTCAAGAGAGAACTGGAAGACAACTGAGTACAGACAACTCTTTCGAGGCATGTTTATTGCTTAGAGACAAAGAGCTCACCGTTCTACCTCAAACATCTCGCTAGCTCTTGGTATAGAGTAAATGTGAAACAAAAGAATAAATGTCAAAACCAAAAATTCCCAATACTTCAAACCAAATTAAGAAACTCAAATGGTCCAGAGGTAAAGAGCTTCCTGCCCACCCCATTCTGTTCCTAGCTTGACTCTTTAAGCTCTTCCCTCCACAATGAGGATGAACTGCAAAAACATGAGCTGCTCTCATCTTTCATAACTTGGTGTTTATCTGGGACCAAAAGATAATTAATTAGTATTGTGACTGGTAGCTGAACCTTCCCTTTCTGCATCTCAATTTTCCAGAGGTTATATATAATAAAAGTCAACAGCTAAATTATGAACATGTCACCAAGGGGTTAAAAAAAAAAAACCACTGGTGGTTGTCATTTAAACAAAACATCTCATTCCAAACCCTATGCTGAGACCTTAAAAACAGCCACTTAAATTCTAAAATGGATGACTTTCCCTCCCCCAATTCCCTTTATCACAGAGCAACAGTGAAGCCCTTTGTGGCAAAAAGGCGATGTCCAGACAACAGTCAAGTGTCCCTACCTGACAAAATGTCTTCTGCTAACTCCTTTTCTCTTTCAATTTTTTCCTCTAGAGTTGAAATGCAGAATTCATAGCCAGCAAGAGCAAATTCCTGTCTGTAAAGCAAAGATCAGCAATTGGCTGTTCACTTTTTCAAAAACTCCTCTTTTATCCTCATTTTCCCAACTGGGGTTTAAGTATTATCAATAAAGGACATGTAAGATGGGAAGAGGAATTTTCTTTAAAGCCTCCAAAGGGTATCAATCTGCCACTTCTCAAATGTATTTTTTTCTAGTCACCCATTTAATGTAACTTAAGACCTAAAAAGCAGCCACAGTTTTTAATAACTGATAGAAACCTGCAATTTTCATCATCTCCCACTAACAGTTTCAAGTGAGTCAGTTTCTCCATTTATGAAGGACTAAACCTGCTCAATACAATAATATGAATGGAAGCTAATGCCACCCTGCACTACAAGTCTAACTACTGACCTCATACAATTTCTGGAGAGTTTTATTATATTACCTTTATACTTCTCCCAAGCTGTAGGTCTCTGATGCCAATTTCTTTTATGGAAATGAACTCCTAAGTATGGCACTACAGGGCATTTAGCCTGACTCTAGCCCTGGACCCTCAGTCAATTGGGAGAGGACACCCAGGTGGCAGGCAGACTGACTGAATAGAACAAGTATCACCTGCTGGTTTCTATAAAGAGATACACAGAAACACGACAGAAATTCCTTCCCCATCCAGAAGCTCAGCCCTGGTTCTTCCTTTGTTTTATTTCTAGTTTCTTACCCAAAGTGGTACAACAAAGCTTACTACCCCTTCTTCTCTAGTGTTTTGCCAGGGACTCCACTGTTTTGCTCTGTTCTCAGAAAAACAGAAGCTTCCCTTGACCCAAACTTTGGCAGACATGGTTTGGTATCCAGCCAGGACACGGGAACACGGGAGGCTGGCCACGGTATGCGCCTAGTCAGAGTGGAACAGAGGGGAACGTGTATGAACAATTCCCCTCCTGACTAATATCAGTCTTTGCAAGCCTCAGGATCTGGCCATATATTTTCTAGTCTCATGAGTCTCTTAATAAAACAAAATGAAAAAACACTTTTGAGGAGAGTATAGAGTAATTTACAGGCTAATTATTAATGGCTACTACACAAACTTTCACCTCTACAAGATCATGCATTTGTCTTACTCTCCAGTGTTACTAGCTTTGGGCTTCTTCTTACCCTAGGAGTTCATACACCAACACCTGGTCCTGCTTGTTATTCCTCAAAGGCAGACTGATCCCAGTTGCAATACTCCCTGGAATGGGCCAACCTCAAAGGTCCGCAAAAGACTTAAAGTCAAAGGCCTTCAAAAGCTCTAGCCTGTCTAGTGTCCAACCAAATGCAGAGAGACTAAACGTTTCCTGCTAAGAATGAAGGAGCTGGTGACCAGGGCAGCAGGGACCAGTGCCAGGGTCCCTTGCCTCAATGATCACTCATTTACAGCACCAGGCTCAATGTTATTCCAAACGCCTGATACCAAAGTTCTGCAGCAACTAAAAATCTAAGGAAAAGCTAGTCTTAGGTTGTCCTTAAATTCACCCCAAAATATAACTCTCTAGAGTTCTTTGCTTACATCCTAGGTGTTTCTTCTTTGAACTCCACCCAGAGAATGAAAGGCACCAGGCCTCACTCATTAATTCCTGACCTTTGGCACACATCCAAACTGTTTTCTAAAGCCTTTCCTGTGTAGCTGGCAGACTTTCTTCTTTATAAGAATTGAGATTCATCTAATACTTTTAAATTAGGACCGGGCCGGCCGAGTGGCTCAGTTGGTTAAAAGCTCACTCAAGAGTTGGAGCTCTGAGCAACAGCGGTTCAATGCCCGGCCCGAGCTGAGTTGCCGCTGAGCTGCCAAAAGGTGGCAGGATGACTCAGCTAAAAAAAATAAATAATAAATAAATTAGCACCAATTTCCTGTCCTATTTATCCAGAGGTCTTTTCTCTAGTCCTAGATATTTCCCCTTCCTAAAACCTAGCTTCCTGCTTTAAAAACACTGCCCACCAAACTAGCCATTAAGACTCTCCCATAGCATCTCTCTCATCATTTAACTTTATATCTAATTTCTTGGTTTGATAATATTTATACAAGCAAAATGGTTTCTTAAAAGTTTATTATCCCCAGCACCTTTTACATTGCTCCCTCCTATTCTAGGAGGAACTAAACTAAAGTTCTAACTGTAACTTCTCTTCCTAGTTCAAACAGGAACAGGAAACTTGATTAGCTTTGTCACAGTGTAGCCAGAGGTGTGAGGGCTGTATGCCTCACTCAACAGGTTCATGGAAACAGCAGAGGCAAAACTGGGAAATACTAAAGGTTTCAAAGATGAGGGATTAAAAACACTTTGATTGTGACAAATTTTTGGAGACCCAAATGATTAGTAGGTAAATGAAAATTATATAACATCCCAAGGTCAAAGTTTCTTGTCCACAGCCCTACTTCCTTGGCTGCTGTCACACCTAGATTCTGACTATACTTACCTATTCTGTGCAGCATAGATACTGGCCAACTTTAGAGAGATTTCAATTATTGCATTATCCTCCTGTGGGGAAAAAGAAAAATGAAGGAAATTCATGACAAGTAAAATTTCCCATGGAATATTTCAAATCAACTTCTAGATGAACTCTGGCCTGAAAGCCATAGTCACAGTCCTTTTAGAGAATTAGGCAAATGTGATTCCTCAGCTACCATGCTCTTCCATGAATGAAAAGACTGGCAGTTTTTATACAAGTCCTAGGGGGAAAAAAAATCTACCTTTTTTTTGGCCAAAGCACATTTTGGGGGCTGGGTGGAGTTTTCAGGAAGCAAGGCTATTTTGACAACTGCTTCAGCTAGGGCCAAATCCTAGGCAACATCCTTACCTGTTGCATGCCCCCTCCAAGCAGGTAACTCATTGTTGCTTTAAGAAGTTTTTCCGCCTAAAAGCATAAGGAAAAAATTTTTCTTTTACTTGGACCCCACTATCTATATGACCCTGGATTCTAAGTACTAGTCTGATGCATCATTCCTTGTAAAACACATCATACACACATTCACATTCATATATACACAGAGACAAGTATCCTTGTGAGGGGAAAACATCCTCTGGGCATCTTAAAAACTATTCTGTGATGAGTAGAAACCAACTTCAGAAATTAACTTCTCATCCAAACCCACTGTGACAGTTTGTAAACGATCCCCTAAAATTCACTTTCCTCTTCATCTTTTTAGGTGTGGGATCTCCTTAGTTTTTAATAGGTCAGCCTCCTTTGTAGTTAGGTATGGTCATATGATAAAGTTTTGGGCAAGAAATATAGGCAGAAAAAAATGCAAATGATTTTTAAATCATATTTACAAGGAAGCTGCTTGCCCTCCATCCTCTCTTCTTCCCTCCTGCAGGTTGGAGGTGAGACAGCTCACTTATGCAGGTAAGGACCTATCTTGGACGGAATCAGGGCTTCTGGACCACTTCATGGAGCAAAGGTACCGAGCCCTCTTCAGTGTTTAGCTACCTCTGGACTAATGCATTAAAGAGAAATACACCTCCTTCTTTTTTGAGTCATTCTATTTTGGGGTCTCTTTGTTACAGCAGCTTAGCCAGTACCCTTACTAACAGGGTTTCCTTGAAACTAGTCCTTCACAAATTCAAGATATTACAAAGTGGGGCCGGCTGAGTGGCGCCACTTGGTTAAGAGCTGGCTTGGGACGCCAGCTCTGAGCAGCAGGGCCCCGGTTTGGATCCCACATGAGGGCCAGTGACACTACATTCTACAGCTCAGATGGTGAACAAGAGCTCGACCTGGAGCTGGGCTGCCGTGAGTCGCCGGCGACGCTGTAGGCTGCAGCCCCTGCTGCAGTGGGCTGCCATAAGCTACTGTGTGTGGCCAGCAGCTAGCGTGAGCGGCCTGGCAGCGGTGTGAGCTGCCATGAGCTGTTGTGAGCGGCCGTCCAGAAACCGGCGACCAATCTGCCTCACCCAGGAAGAGCGCAATGATAATACCAACATGGGCCAGTGAAGCGCCGTCCTCCATAACTAGACTGAAGAACAAAAGGACAGCAACTTGTCTGTTCCCCTCCCCCGTTTCCCCAATAAAATCTTAAAAAAAAAAAAAATCAATGATATTACAAAGTGATTTACTTACATTTTCAAGCTGACCCCGTGTAAGTGCTAAGTTGGCCATCTGAAAACAAATTACAAATTGTTTTTCAGGTTAGAGCACTGTGTTCCTGCTTACTTCAAAACTTTTAAGCTAAGGACTTTTTTTCACCTTCTGAACAAACAAAAAAAAATATTTCAGAGAGAAAAGTATGTCACTAATCTGCTAGAAGCAAAGTACAGCAATGGCATGAGAAAAAAGATTTGCATATATTTGTTGATGTCAAACTAAATCTAGATCCACTCATTCTTGAAGAAACAAATATTAATGTTATTTGGTTCTTTTTGGACTGGGATTGAGACTTCTTTTAAGTGACACCCCAAGGGTAATAAAAAAAACAAAAACAAAACTTAGTAAAAAAAAAACCAAAGAGCTTTAGGACATCCTGAAGTTCAGGAATATAAATCAGGAGCACTAACAACCATTCTCTTGCATCTATCCTTCATCAGTGTCTCAGATTGGTTAGAAGAGTTACCAAATCGTAAGTATAAGTGATGGCCTTCTTGTTGTCACTCTGATAGGCAAGACGAAGAGCGTCATGCAAAATTAGCTCAGCTTCTTCTGGCTCATCTTTCATGATGCTCAACTGAAAAGAGAAAACAAAGAAAATAATAGAAAATGAAATGCAAAGAAAGCAGATGCATGGGCTACCAGGCAGAAGTGGGTATGACTATACATCCCAAAACACAGAAAGAAGCTATTCATTCACCAAATATTTACTGAATTCCTACTATGTACTAGGCATTATGTTTACAATGCTCAAGGGCACCCTCCCTTGCAGCTATGTGTGGCCATATGACAGGGTTTTGGCCAACAGATGCAGACAGGCGGAATGTGAGCAATTTTTACATCATATTTTATAAGTAAGCTACTTGTCCTACATCCTTTCTTCCTGCAGGCTAGAAATGACCCTGTAGGACAAGTAACCTTAATTACAACTAATGATAAAAACTATGAAAGAAGCACTGGAAAAGGAACAATAAAGGCCTCCTCTAAATGGGAGTCAGAAAAGCTTTCTAAGGTAGTGACAGTTAAACTGAGGTAGGATGAAAAAGAGTCAACCAAATAAGGAATTATGGGGGGAAATGACCTAAACAGAGAATAATGAAGAGCAAAGGCCCTACAGGCTGAAGAAAATGAGAAATTCAAAGAAACAGATGAGAAAGGAGGATGGTGAGCCAGAGGAGTATTGCCAAAAGGGTGGGCAAGGTAGGGAGGTGTCAATCATGTAGGGTCTTGTGGGAAATCATTCCAAATTTTTAGGCAAGGAAGTACTGTGATCTGATTTACTTTAAAAAAATCACTTTGGGGCCGGCCGAGTGGTGCGAAGGTTAAGAAATGGCTTGGGATGCCAGAGGGTCCCAGTTCGGATCCCACATGTGAGGGCCAGTGACGCTGCCCTCTTAAAAAAACAAAACAAAAAACCCATAGTTTAAGTTTAAGGGGCCGGCCGAGTGGCTCAGTTGGTTAAGAGCTCGCTCAAGAGTTTGAGCTCTGAGCAACAGCGGTTCGAGTCCAGCCCGAGCTGAGCAGCCGCTGAGCTGCCAACAGGTAGCAGGATGGCTCAGCTAAAAAAAAAAAAAAATCACTTTGGCTGCTGTATGGAGAATGGAATGTGGGGGGGAGGGGGGCAGCAAAAGGGCAGACAAGATTACTAGGTAGTAGTCTGTGGTAATAGCAGGGGAGATAGAAAATGGGGGCTGATTTAGGCAATAGGATTTGTTTCTGGACTGTAAGTGCATTGGGCAGCAGTAGTAAGTTACCACAAGTTTTAAGAATGACTGTAAGATTTCCATGCTGAAAAACTGGGTAGATGGTAGTAAAGAGAAGACGGTGAAGGAATGTATTGGGGAGGCATTTAAGATGAAGAGTTTAGTTTTAGGCAGGTTAAATATTAGAGACAGACGGAACCTCTAGGTGGAGACGGAATGTCAGTAGCACACTGCAGCATGGGAATATAAATTGGACGTTGTTGGCATCAAGGTGGTGGTTAGCCCAATAGAAGAGCTGAGATAACCTGGGGAGGAGAAGAGAAAATAAAAAAGAATGTGCAGAAAAGGAAGTTTGGAAAGAAGAGAACCAAACCACTCATAACCAACACCAAATTGCATTTTCAGGACGCTACATATTGTATGCAAAAAATTCTCTATGCCAGTCCTTTCAGCTTGGCTGATTCAGGGATAAAAACTACAACACATTTCTGCTAATTTTGTTTAGATAAAAGAATGATGCCTGTGGTGCCACTTCCATCTGCTCTTGAAACTGCAGCGGTTTTACTGCAGGCTTTAATAGAGTCTGACAAGCCTGGCTGGATTCCAACGCCGCCACCACCACCACCCCCCTACCTCCCACTCTCCACCCCCACCCCATGATCCACCTAATTCCACGCACTTTTACCTTCGGAGCCTCCATCTAGTCTACCGCAAACTGGAGAGTAATGCGCAACAAGGCCGCCTCACCTTGGCTCGCTTCAGCAGCTGGATGATTTCGGCCTCGGTCTCATCCGCTGCATCCTCGGCGGCGGCCCCGCCTGCTCCATGCCGCTCCTGCTCCTCCTCATCTGCAGCAGCGGGCCTCGAGAACCACGCAAGGGCTGTGGGAAGGGGCTCTGAAGTCACCGGGCCTGGCCCGCGCCCCGGTTCCCGCCCGGCCGGCCCTGCCCGGCCCCCGGCCCTCACCTGCCAGCAGCGGCAGCAGGCCCGAGCCCCCGCCGTGCGGCGCGACTCGGGATGGCGGCACCTCCACCTCGGGCGCCCGGCGTCCTGCTGGCCCCAGTGGCAAGCGCGCCGAACAGACCCGGCACTGCCGCCCCCCGGCCCGCAGAAGGACTCGGCCCAGACTCGGGATCAGGAGCCGGTACATGCCGCGACCGCGTCCTCTGCGCACTGCAGGCCCGGCGGGATTCTGGGACGTCCCGCCCCCAGCGCCGAGCGCCCGCCTGATTGGTCGGGCCGTGACGTACGAGAAAGAATCACCCTTGCCGTCCGTATGCGCAGTGACGCACGCCGACGTCATGGCGCCGCGCCCCGCCCTTTGCTGGTGGTGGGACTCCACAAATTTGTTCGAGTGTTTTTCTTGCTGTGCGCTCTGAGGAGGCCAAATCCTGTAGCGCCATGGCCGTCGCGTTGGCGGCGGTCACGTTGCCGAGTGTCGTGGAGGAGCTCCTGAGCGAGATGGCTGCGGCGGTGCGGGAGGGCGCGCGAAGTACGGGCCAGAGGGAGGAGTGTGTAGCTGCGTTGTGGGCCGTGGACCTTGCGCCGTCGGGCGGGGAGGAGAGTGTCTCTGGGCCTGCGAAGCGCTGGATTCGTGAATCGGCTCCCGCGCTCCTCGCCCCGGTCTGCCCGAGCTGTTTTCCCCATGTGGTTCCATCTCTAACGCCCCTTGTTCGTAAAACAGAGAGAGGAAAGCTAGTAAATTTGTTCAGGAAACAGTGCAGTTATCCCTGCGGCCCCTCAGTTGGGCGAGCAGGCCAGTGGAGAACCAGGGGCAGAAGTGTGCTGATCGCTGCCAAAAAACACGTGAGAAGGGGCCCTGGTCCGGGAAGGTGGAAGGAACAGGAGACTACAGGGGCTTATAGAAAGATACATTTTTAAATTATTAAACTTGCATGTAATCTTTTTTTCTCAAAATGTTATGTTAACTTTAAAATTAATCCTCTCATACACTTTGTTCAGTAAATCAACATTTTAGGGTCACAAAACCCAAATGCGTAGGCAATGACTGGAGTAAATTTGAATATTGTGAAAGTACCTTTTTTTTTCCTCTCACCAGCAGAGGATGCTCTGTGACCATGCTCACCAAGATGATCTCAAGATATGTTCACAGCATAACTAATATTAAGAGAATGCTTCTAATCCAATGCATCCACTAATTAGAAATACTCAACCAATGTAAAAATGGGTCTTTATTAAATAGCAGATTAGGCCTCAAAATTGCCACTGCTTATTCCCTTGGATGGCTTTTGTTTTAAAAAGGACTGCAGGGCTGGCAGAGTGGCTCAGTTGGTTAAGAGTTTGCTTAAGAGCACGAGCTCTGAGCAACAGGGTCGCTGGTTCAATTCCCACATGGGCCAGGGCCAGTGAGCTGCGCCGGGGCTGAGCTGCCAACAGGTGCAGGATGGCTCAGCTGGTGAGTGCACGGCTCCTAATGGCAAGACTGCCTGTTCCATGCGTGGGCTAGGCTTACCCATGGCTGGAACTGAACTCTGCACTTTGAGCTGAGCTACCTCCTGGATGATGACTCAGTGGATAGAATGTGCACTCCTTAACAAGGCTGCCGGTTCGACTCCGCATGAAAAAAAATAAAAAAGGATTGCACTTTGGAAGTATTTATCTTGAGTTACTATTTTTAAAGGCTTGAGAAGAGTAAGCCAACTTTTTTTCTCATTTCAGTTAAAACTAACATAATATATATGCTTAAAAGATTAGGCTAGCCAGGTATTCAAACATGTTCTCCCAAAAAGGGTAGGGAAAAAGGTCAATCTGTTGTCAGCTCCTACAGTGGTTGCCATAAGTGGGCTCTGTCTGAATGTATTAATCCATACACTATGACAATTTTGAAGACATGTCCCTGATGCTCATGGCTCAGACAGATGGACAACTGCCGTTGATTCATGTTTTTTCAGCAGAACGGTTCTCTGTTATTTAAAAATCTTTGTTGTAGATAGTCATACACTCTTCCTGACCCCCATCCTTCAATGCTAACTTTTTAAAATGAAGATTCTGAGTTTATACTTGTATGATGATGTAAAATCTAGTCTCAGCTGAGCCATATAGGAAGCTATCTATGATTACTTTTCTTTTCCTGTGTAACTTTTCGTTTTCCCTGGAATTACAACTGTTGTGGTTGTGTTTATTTGCTTGTTTAGTTTTCTACATATTTATCCCTAATTGAACCTCAAACTCTTTATCAGTGTTCTCTCTATTAAGATGTTCAGATGATTATGTTTTTATCAGTTTCATTTTCCTGTAGAAGTCTCTCCTAGAGCCTTCTGACTTGCTCTAATATGGACTGGCTGCCCTCCAATCTGTCTCCTGAGATCTCCCTTCACCATTATTATCCGGTGAATTCCCTTTACCAATATTGAACTTTATGTTTATGGAACCTACAATTTTCTTTTTCTCGGTTTACTCCTTTATAGAGCACATGCTGTAGTAGCTTCCTGAAGAAAGTACAAGAAATGTACTTTTTGAGGCTTTGCATGTCTGAAAAAGTTATTTTTCTAACCCCACACCTAATTGGTAGTTCGGTTAAGTATTGAATTATATGTTGGAAAGAATATTTCTAAAGCCCTCTGAAAGCATTATTCCACTAACTTCTAGCTTTTTAAACTTAACTTTCAAAGAGTCTTCCTTATTTTAGTCCCCCTGCTTCATCTCTACCTCCAGAGCTATCTGGTGCCACCAATTTCGGAGGGATTTTTCTGGGGGTGGGGGGATGGGGGGAGTATAATGGACTCGAGTGTAAATCAGGTTGTTGTTTGGCTCTCATTATTGCTAGCTTAGAATTCCATTTTCTCAGGTTTTATAAATTTATTTTCCAATGTATCTTAGCTCTTGTTTCTCTCTTTCCTTCCTTGGGAGTTTATACTTTGAAAAAAAATCCTGTTGTTGTTTAGTGGAATGTTGGGAAGGAGGAAAATGAGATACGTAGGCTCAACTCACCATCTTTCACAAAAGTTTTTTTGGTTATAGCCTTTTTAAGATTTTTATGTTTGTGGTCACTGGTTTAATATGATTGACTTTCTTTCCATACAGTTCCTGATGAACATCTATTATCGTAAGTATATCCTGTTGTATTTGGGGGGGTTTAGCTGTTAATATGTTTTAAAAGCCAAATAATTTCAATATCAACTCTTGGTTTTTAAAAATATTCTTACTAAACTAGGAACAATATTTTATTGACATGATTATTAAAAATCTGTTTCAAGCGAATAGCCCAAACCATATTTTATTATACAAGGCATTCCCACATTGTCCTATGTGTCACTTTTGTTTAACATTGTTCTAGAAGTTGTAGCTGTTATACCAACACATAAAAAAGAAATTAGAAGTTTACCTATCTGCAAGGAAAGACAGTTATCATTATTTGTAGATGATATAACTACTTTTTAAAAACCAAGACAATAGTTATTTTTTAATATAGAAATTAAAAATGGTTTTCCTTCATACACAAAGTTCAAAAATATAATTACAAAAAAGTGAAAGCTACCTAGGAATAAATAACATTAAATTGCATATATATACTTATATTTAAAAGTCCAGAAGGATATACACCAACCTATACTAGTGATTCTCTTAGGGGGAAGGATGGAGGTAGAATTTAGAGAAAGGCTTTAACCTTTTGTCTATTTCTTAATTTGTTTTTACAAAGATGATACATTATTTGAACAAAAATACTACTTTTAAAACAAGGAAAATAGGCAAATAAAAAAAACAAATTACCAAAAACTTTGAAAAAAATAAATTTTACTAGTGATCAGAAAAATACAAATTAAAATAACGAGATAACTTTCCATGTATAAAACTGGCCACCACAGAAAAGATGTTGGTAAGAATGTTCCAAATGTTGACAAGAACATGAAGAAAAGGATAATTGACACCCTGCTGGTAGGAGTGTAAATTGGAAGTTAATCTGGCAATAGGCAATAGGAGTTTTAAAATATACATATTTTTTTACTCAGAATTCTATTTATAAGAATGTATCCCAAGGAAGTAATCATAGATGTTCATAAACATTTTACAGTGAACACATTCATCCATGTTGTTTACAGTAGCAAAAAAAAATAACCAAACTGGAAACAATCTAATGCAGATTAGATTTAATAAACTCTAATTATCCAAAAATAGAATTTGGGAAAAATAAAAGTAATTCATCTTTACAGTGGAATTCTTTGTAACAATTAAAAGTGACATAGAAAAATATTGCCTTCAAGAGATATTCACAATATGTTACAAGGTGGACAAGGCACGTTGAAAATTTTTTATTAGATCCATTTTTAAAGTTAACTGTGATTATCTCCGAGTTATCACCAGATTTTATTTTTTTATTTTTCTTTGTCCATAGGTAATCTCCATATGTTTAATGTTAAAAACTTGAAAAACTCCTCCCATTCCAATAGTTTATTATATAAAGAGACTAGTTTGTTGGAAAATGAAGAAGTTGGACATTTTAATTTTGAACTCTTAGTAGTTTTTATTTTGTGTCAAATCATATGGGTTCTTTAAAACATTAACTTTTCATATTTAGCTCAACCCAGCCATTTTATTTTCCAGTTGATAAAAATAACCTATACTTGTAAAAAAAAAAAAAAAAAGCCCTTGAAAAATAAAACATAAAAAGCATCAGCAATCATACCACCCAATGATAATCACTGTTACATTTTGGTTTACTGTCTTTTTAAAAAAAGTTTTATTTTTACATAATTGTAGTTTTTTTAAGAAAAAAATTTTAACATGATTGAGCGTTTCTAAACATACAGCTTTTTCCCACATAAATTTTTTCTGGTATGTAATTGACAGCTGAATAGCCTTTATTACTAATCAAAACTACAAATTTAATACCCATCAGATGGTCAAAACATGAAAAAGTCTGATAATACCTGTGTTGGTGAGGATGTGGAGAAAATAGAACTCTAATACAGTGCTGGTGGGAGTGCTGTTTCCACTGTGGAAAGCTATTGGCAACACCTATTAAAAGCGGAAATTGCACATATCTGAAGACCCACAAACTCTGCTTTTACTTATATAATAGGAAACATTCTGATATATGCACACCAAGGGACATGCACAGGGATATTTGGGTATTATTTATAATAGTGTAAAATGGAAACAGTCGGAGTGCCCATTAATAGGGTACTTAAATAAAAGTGGTATGTACATACAATGGAATATTATTCAAAAGTTAAATTTTTTAAACTACATGTATATCAACAGGCATCATTTTTAAGAGCATGTTGAGTAGGAAAAAAGTTGCCAAAAAACCTACAATATACCGTTTGTTTTAAAACTCACAAAACAATACCATATGTATTGGGTTGTCGGAAAAGTCATGACACATTTTTGCAATGAAAAACAGAAAAAATACGTCATGACTTTTCTGACAACCCAATATAATGTGTGTGTGTGTGTGTGTATACATATACACACACATTATATATAATAACTTATAAAACCATTAACAGGAAGGAAACCAACAAACGCTTGTTGTCTCAGGGATGAAGGGAAGCTGGGAAGAAGAATAGGAAACACCACCAAGTATAAAGGTTTCTTTATACGTAATCAATATGTTAACATTTATTCTGGGGTATTGATTACATGGGTTTTTGTTGTATTATCTTTTTTTCCAAACTAATTTTTTTTAAATGATGATCGTGATCCTTTGGGTCAGGTTACTGAGGTGCATTTGAGAGTCTGGCAGTCTCATCTAAAGCCTTTCTGTTTCCTAGACTAAAGTTCATCTTTGGCTCTTCAGCCATCCAGGCCTTGGACCTAGTTGATCGACAATCCATCACCTTAATCTCATCACCCAGTGGGAGGCAAGTTTACCAGGTGGGGATTATCTCTACAGAAACCCCTTAGGACAAAATTTTCAAGAATCTTCGTGGAAGCTGATAACCAGCATTAAGTATTTCCTGCACTGTTGAAAAGCATTTGACCCACCTTAGTAAAATTAGTGTATTAGTAATTAAAATTAGATAAATGTGACCTATTAACTCTACCTTGTAGCAATGTATAGAATCAGCAATGATGTGGAGAGGCACTTTTCTCAGATCTAATGGAGTATAGCTGGCTTTTGCTTTCCCATTATTTGATAGTAGAGGTAGTCTCCCCCACCCACCCCACCCCCCCAAAAAAATGTCTTGATGTCTTCATCTTGTTCATTACCTCTTGCTTACAAGCAAAAGCTAAAGGGCATTTTGGGGATCTTTCCACATGCTCACATTCATGTGTTAGAAATGATCTTTTAAAACTGATGTCAGGAAGTATTTATTCAGGATCAAACTATGCTGAATGCAGGCCGCCTGCTTGGACCTTAGTTTTGCCCTGTAGAGTTTAAGATAGGTGGATTTGTAAAGTACAGCCCCTTAACAGGCTCTCAATTACTTTCATGTGTTATTGATAATTCTCATGAAACGCCCAGTAGTGTATTTTTCAGGAAACTGAAATACGGAAAGTAAACTATAGTCACAGCTGGCAACTGGGATTTATTATATAACTGCTGTCCCACACTGCCTGTTTTTATATGAACAGTGGGACAAACTCCAACCCCACCCCACCCCAGTTTAGCTATATGAGACAATGATAAGTGCAGCTGGGATTGAGGGAAGGGAATAATAGTGTATACGAACTGAAAATATATAGGGACTGGTCTCCAAAATTTTGTGCCTGGCTTGGAAGGGTTAAAAAGAAGGCATCAGCTCTTGTAAATGTAATCCAGGCCTTGCTGAAGACCAGGAAGGGGTAAGTATTTCAGTGTTTGGATTCTGGTTTATTTTCGATGAACTTCTCAGAGCTGAGAGCATGTCGATTAATTCTTAGTGAGTGAATGACTTGAGCAAAGCCTGCTGGGGCAGATAGGTGCCTTTGCTTAGCGAATTAACTTGCCTTTCCACACTGTAGCATAATTTAGCTGACCTAGCAAAATCTTCACACATTTCTTCATTAAGGAAAATGGGGTAATTAGTGTTGAATGCTGCCATTAAACTTTTTGTATTGTACTATTAGAATTTTCTCCTGGTAAATTTATAGATTGATAATCAGAGCTATTAAATGTTTGTATCTGAGGAGGTATTTCCATTTTTTTTCCATGTGTTTTTATTTTTGTTTTTTTGTTTTTTTAAAGATTTTTTTGGGGAAATTGGGGGATGGGAACAGCATTGGGGAATCAGGGAAGGGGAACAGACACATTGCTGTCCTTTTGTTCTTCAGTCTAGTTATGGAGGACGGTGCTTCACTGGCCCATGTTGGCATTATCATTGCGCTCTTCCCTGGTGAGGCAGTCGTTCACCAGCCATTGGGTAGCCACTCACAGAGCCTCATGGCAGCTCCCGTCAGCTGCTGGCCACTCACATTGGCTGTGGCCACTCATGATAACTTACAGCAGCCCACTGCAGCAGGGGCTGCAGCCTATGCCAACGCCGGCGACTCATGGCAGCCCAGCTCCAGGTCAAGCAGTTGTTCACCATCTTAGCTGTAGAGGGCACAGTGTGACTGGCCCTCATGTGGGATCCGAATTGGGGCCCTGCTGCTCAGAGCTGTCGTCCCAAGCCAGCTCTTAACCAATGCACCTCTCGGCTGGCCCTATTTTTGTTTTTTATATAGTTAAAGTACCCTAAATGAGAAGGGCCTTTGAGTTTTTACCATGACTTTGGTTTCACATTTTTTCTCTCAGTTCTAGTATTATCAGCATAACATTTGACTTGCTCAAGCGGATTTCTATCTTCTAGTTCTGTGATCTAGTTATTGGTTAAAATCTTCAAGATTTTATTTGAAATATTTCAGTTATTGTGGACTTTTTATTCCAGGATTACCCTGACTTGTTTAATTTTCGTCATTTACATCCTGTATTGTATTACATTGTTTTATTCATCATAAAAATGCTAACTTCCTAGAATGATGGCTATTAGCTTGGACTTTGAATTAAACGAGGCTGTAGAAATCTTATATACACCTTCAAATTAACCATAATAGTTTCATTGCATTGTAAGAATTTGGCTTAATTAAGAGGTTATATGAGATGTTAAAAGTTGAGTCAGACATTGCCTTGATACCCTGCTAGTTATCTTTCCATAGCTAAATCTAATATTCTTACTGTCCTCCAGTTATAATTGTAATTATGCTAAAGTGACCAATGTTGCTGTCACCTTAGTTGCTTTTCTATAAACTCTTTTGGTTCACCTAAGAAGGGGGATGCCTCAGTCAAGAGAGGCTAAGTTATTCTGTGATAACCTCAAAATTTCAAAGGTTTACAAAAACAGTTTTGTATGTTATTCATGCTACATATCCATTAAGAGTCAAATGCAGTTCCGTTCTAAAACATCTTCACTAAGGGATTCCAGATGATGGAGTAGCCCCTCCCTATCGAGCTCATTGTGGATCTCATAGCAGAAAAAACAGAGGATGTGGCATGTGCCAATTTTTAATGTTTCTGCTTGGCCACTCACATTTACTGGCTAAAGCAGGTCACATAGCCAGCCTCTATTTAATAGGGCAGGAATGTATAATCCTCTTTCAGCAAGAGGCACCGAACATGGAGGACAATAAATAATAGTTTACCAATGTGATGGGTCCTAAGAGGCTTGGAGCAGCCATAAAACTGTGCTTGTGAGTGGATGACCATCTAAGGTGGGTCACCCTCCTGAGGACCTAATTGAAACCACAGCAGACTTCCTCCAAGTGAGGTTCATACAAGTCCAGTCATGGGTCTGGGTATCCTTTTTCCTGCATGTTTCTTTTTTTTAAAAAGCTCTCTCCCCTTCTGGGGATAAACATTCCAGACTAGGAGTGGAAGAACTGGGAGCAATTCTTGTAAAAGGAAGTCATTTTTCCATTGAAGGGTGGAGGAATTAAATTAGGTGATCCCTAAGGTCAATTTCCAGTTCAAAACATTTCTAACTCAGATTTTTTGCCTGATTATTGGGTTCATTAGTTGTCCACTGCTAGTTAAAGAAGGGGCAAGTTCAAGTTTGCTGTCTCTTTATGGTATTTACTGCCTCAGGCAGTTATTTTACTTTTAGTCTTAGCCAGCCTTTGAAAGGATAAAGCAAGGGAATCTCTGTAGAATTTCTCTCCATCCCTAAGTCAATACATATGTATTTAGTACAGTCCAGAGAGTACTGATAGATACGGGACCCACAATAAGAAGGAACCAGTGGACCACTCAAGTCAGTGTGGAATTCCAGAGACTTATGCCTGCTTAACTTTAGATCTAGAGAGAAGAGTTACAGGAGATAACTACAGGATGAAGAAATCTAAAGTTTTATTCATTGATAATAGTTTGGAGACCCAAGAATTGTTCATGTCACTGCTGGGTGTTGGTGGGTGTTGATTTTCTTCCAGGATTAAGTAGAAAACAGTCTGCTTCAATGCTCTCACTTACAAGTTTTGCAGACACACTAGGGAAATTCTTCCATGATACTCAGTGGCATAGGTGATGTTTAAAACATGTCAGTGCCTCGAAATTGGAAATTACATAAAATGTGATTTTTTTTTGATACATAATTTGTAACTGGGGCTGAAATTTTTAAGGGGTACAGTAAGCATCTTACCCAGCCATTGACCATTTCTGTTAATCTAGCAATCCCTGAGGAACTCAACTGTGTTGGTAAAAAAACCATAGAGACGTCGCCACATCGTGAACCACTGGATATTTGACAAACAGAAGCACAACACTTGAACAGTGCTATTGGTTGAAGACTTACCTGTTGCTTTATACTTTGTGTGTAGAGAAAGAAGGAAGAGTCCTGGGAGTGCTGGCATCATTTTTCAAAAAACTCCTGAAGTCCTGGCCTTTTCATTTAGATTGCCATCTTGAGCCTAACACTAATTTGAAAGCCCTGTGACAGTTTCCTCAGTGGCAGTTCATTGTAAAATAACGCTTGAGATGTTTCTGCTTCCCTTGGATACTAAGTTTACACTTCCAGTTTGGAAAATAATTGTAGGAATGAAGCTCTCAACATTTTTGTTTCTTGGCTGCTTTGTGGTAGAGAAACTTAAGCAAGTGATTTCTCCAATAAATTTGTCTAGTCATACCACAGATGCATCATACTTTCCCTATACATTCCTTTTTTGTCCCTCAATTGCCAACAAGGCTGTTGGTTCTTGGACTGGGCCTCTTACCAACCTCTCCCTTATCTGTGTCTTCCTTGCGTCCTGCTAGATGAATAGGCAGACCCGGCCTTGCCTCTTTTGAGACCTCCATCCTGAGCGGCTGAGTCACCCCTTTCGCAGATTCTTTATTTATTCTCCCTGCTTTCAAATTCTTTTCAAAAACCTTTTTCCACTTTCTTCTGAAACCTGTCTTTCTGCCTCACTATTTTCCCCCTTACTTGTTTTCATACTTTCGTCAGATGTGTGGTGGAAGCTTTAGAAACTTACATCTGTTAAAATGCGAGAGGTTAAGAAACACCACAATGCAGTGTAGATGAGAGAGCTTTCCCCACCACCTCTTCATATCATCCCATGAGGTCAGCCCGCCAAATCACTAGGCAGAGGAACAAAATGGTTTGTGTGGATGGTTTAGCCTGAAACTCTTCAGTTTCATTGTATGAAGTCCTCAAGGGCAGAGCACTGAGAAGGAGAGAAGAGTCTGCACGCAGGGAAGTTGACTTTCCACTTTTGTGTAAAACATTACTGTGTTTCTTCCTGTGCAATTTGCAGAGCAACTCTAAGTTATCAGATAAATTGAAGGGAAGGAGGCGGCTTTCCAGCATACCTTTTGAAGTCTAATCCTATCTGTCCTTTTCTTTCTAGGTACTTGGAAGTTCTGGTAAAACATACATATGTTTGACTTCTTGTCATTACTGTTCATGTCCTGCATTTGCCTTCTCAGTGCTACGGAAGAGTGACAGCCTACTGGTGAGGACGGGGAAGCTCTTCCTACTATAGTCGGATTAGGAGACTATTGTTAGCCCTTACTTTATGGTTTAAGAGTTGTAGAAAATGAGAATTTTACTACATGTTGAAACGAGTAGTAGTTTATTGTCCTTGACGTCAGTTAGTCATTTCTTTGGGTTTACCCTCCAAAATTGCAGTGTCATTTTTAGAACTATATCAACCCCAATTTTTTATTTAAAAGGTCATGGACAAAGCTTTGGGGAGGGCAGCAAGATAATCCTGAAAGCTGGCACTGGGGAATTAGGTGGCCCAATAAAAATATGAACTAAATTGGGTGCTGGCAACTCTGCATACCCCCAACTCTAGCCATGAGGTGTTTCTTCCCACTACCTGTAGGACAGCCTGGCACTTAGCCATGCTTGACTTTCACCTGAGACAGGAGAGCACATTGATGCTTTGCTGATTTCACAGGAGTCCAGAGCATCAATCAAGGAACAAGACTCCTTATTTCAAAGGAGAAAGCACTAGCCACCTGAGAGCAGGTAGCTATATTTTAAGTCTTGCCAAAGAAGAAAATTAATAGCATCCATTCCATTCTACCCATTTATTTTATACTGTTAACTTCATTAAACATCTTGGGAACTGGGTGGCAAATTGAGTATCCCATTGTATAAAAGGACACATTCATAGGTGATGTGCCATAGGTTTATTTCACTTGTGAAATGACACAAACCAGGCCCCCTTCAATATCTAAAGCTGTGTGTTCTGTGATATCAGTCCGATATAGATCACCTCCCGAGAGGTGTGTACAGGCCCTTTATATGTGAGGGTTCTGCAGCACCACCACTGTCCCCCTACACCCCCACATCTCCCAGAAGTATAACAGTGGTTAAGGGAGTAGACTGTAAATTCTGAGCACATGGTTAAAATGGGGAGAAGAGCCGTTCTCATGGGGTAGCTGTCAAATTTAAATGTGATAATGTATGAGAAGCTCTTAGCAATACAGTATCTCAAGGAATGTTACCCGTTGCTATTAACAGCTTTCTGAAGGTAAAGAAGAAAGAAATATAACTCAGGACTAAAATGAGGAGCCTGTCTGGGTTATATAACCTGTGCCAGCTGGATCTAAACTGTTTCCCAAAACAGCTGACAGTAAAACTTCTTTGTCCCCTCTGACTTCTAGAAAGAATACATCTGTGTCATCTTTATCTGCAGTTTTTAAGCAGTGTGTTAAAGGCCCATAATCTGTGTGCCCCACTCCTTTCCCACTAAATGTATTGGTAGTGAGAGGTCTTGGTTAGCCTGGCCCTGCCAATTTCTAATGGTCTGTGTGTTTTGCATTCCAGTGCAAGCATCTCCTGGCAGTTTATCTTAGTCAGGTTATGAGCACCTGTCGGCAGCTAAGTGTCTCGGACAACCAATTGACTGAAATATTATTGATGGAAAAGAAACAAGAAGCATAAAAACTATAGCTTGAGCATCATTATCTTTCAAAATAGAAGTCCCATCAAGAAGTACATTTAACCTATCATGGTTCGCACGGAAGAGAAGTGAAATAGATCTTCTAGAGACTTCGTGTTACTGTCCCTTTCCTCTCCTAGACTGCAGAAGGCACTGTGGGTTGTAATCCAGGATGCGTGTGTGGTTTGAAGCCTTGTACAAGTCTCCTTATGAAAAATCTGAATCAGCCTTTAAGCCACATGGGTAAAAAATTTTCTACATAGATCAAGCATTTTAGACTCAAAGCCACATACGTCCACAACTAGATTAAGTAACTGAAGTACTAGTAATTTTTAAGAGGTTGAAATGATAGACAAAACTGAATAGGATGAAATTTAGATGAATAAGTGTTATTTCTTTAAGTTCAGAAAATTATTCTGCAACAATAAAAGATCAGAGCAGAGATGTGGCTAAAAAGCAGCAAGTATGAAAAGACTCGCTGGGGTTCTGGTTTCACTGAGCTTGACATTTGACATATCTGTGGCGTTGGTGCCAAAATAGCTTAAGTAGGCTGTATTGTTAGAGTAATAATATCTAGAACAAGGAAGTACTGGTTTTGCACTGCATGCGTTTCTGAGCTTTAGAATGAGCCAAATGAAGGAAGCTAAATCATGTCCTGAAGGAAGCTAAAGATACTACTAGGGTTTTCCATTCTGAAGGAGAAAAGGTGAAAGAGATACCAAGAGGAGTGTTAGAAGGGAGAGAAATGGGACTTGTTTGGACCCCAAGAGAGTGCAGAGAAAAAGAGTCATAATGAAATGAGACTGACTTCAGCACAGGACAAGAACTTAGGTAAAGCTGTCGACAGCCAAAATAAGATCATAGAAGGACAGGAATTGCCTGTCTCTGTAAGGGTTCATAAACCTACAGTCTCCTTGCAAGGATAGTGCAGAAAAAAACTGAAGCAATGAACAAACAGATGAAAAGGTGACTTTACAGCCTAGGAAACCCCCAACCCTGTGTACCCAAAACCTGAGGGACTACTGAATGAATGTGTGACAAAGCCACAAATGTTGCAGTGTTCTGTGGTTGGCAGAGCCTTTTGTTATACTGAAGTGTGGCAAATAAAATCTATCGAGACTTTTATACTATTGGGAAACATGCTGGGTATAAACTTACTTTTTTAAGCAGTCTTCAGGATAAAGGATAGAAGATAGATGCAGCTCTGAATGACAAGCTGATGCAGCATCCTAAACTTCTTAAGTTTTTTTTAAGTTTTATTTTTATTTTGCCTAATATACATACATAATTATATAATTTTATTTTGTAAAATTTTCACACTTTGGGATCCAGCAAAACTTGAACTTAGGAGAGAAAATTAACTGTTAGCTCTAGGAGGGGAAAATGGAATCTGGTAGAGGAGGGACCCTATTTCTCTAGGGTAATTTGCTGTATATGGATAAGAATGTTATCAAAATTGTTATGATAATCTTCTTAAAAACTTATGAAAGTATCATTTCCATAAATTGTTTCTTGATTAAAGAATTATACTTCTAATTTTCCTGGTCGCCTTCCCAGGAACAAGTATAATATATATTTTTAGTGTGTCCAACTTTTATTTTTCCATTGCCTCTAAGTTTAAAAAATATTTGTATTATAATAGTTCACAGTATTGCACAGTAAAATAGTTTCAATCATTTTCTACCATGAAAGAGGCAGATTTCAAAAAAACGTTATTCTTTTGCAATGCATTCAGACCGTCCGTATCATCCACACAGTAAGAGCAGCCACACAGAACCATGTATATTTGTTGACCTCTGGAACCTACTAATAACACATACATATTAGCTAGATATGTGGTAACTCCGGGTAAGTGCTCAAAAGAGGCAACCCATATGCTTGTGAGGTGTAGCTGTCTTTCACAATGAGATTCAGCCGCTCATGTCCTGTCGTTTGTGTACTGTGAATTTGTGCCTTCTCGAAGAGGACAAAACCTGGGTCATAGGCCCACATCAAGAGCAGGCTGCACTCCCGCTTGCCCATTCCCACTCTTGAGGACATCTGTCTGGCAGAGAACGTACCTGGAGATGATTTTGTGGAAAGTATAGCGGAAGTCTCGGTTCCGGTAGACATAGACAATGGGATTGACAACTGAGTTGGCATGTGACAGGAGGATGGCCATGTTCATTGCCCACTTGGGTTTATCCTTAGCCCGAGCTGGCTGGAAAAGGCTGACACAGTTGATGGCATGTACTGGTAGCCAGCACAGAGCAAAAATCCCAACGATCATAGCCAGGGACTTGGCTGCGTGGATCTCCCGCTGGAGGGTGGTCCTCGAGTGGTCCATCAGCTCAGTGCGCTGAAGCTGCCGGCAGGCCACCATGAAGATCTTGATGTAGATCATAAGCATTATAAGCAGTGGGGGCAGGACACACCCAAAGAAGTTGAAATACACCATGTAGCTCATGGGGACCACATTCTCAAAAAGACACTTCACCAGGCAGCAGCTTTCATTTGTGGTTCCATCCCAGGACTCTGTGCAGTTGGTGGCACTGTCTTTACTGTTCCATCCCAGGAACGGGGTCAGTCCAATGCCAAAGGCAAGGAGCCAGAGGACAGCAATGACTCCTCTCGCTCGGGTCCCAGTGACTAAACTCTTATACCTGTTCAAAAGAATATCATCTGTTACAATCAGTTGACAGTATTCTGCCACCAAAGTCCAGGATCCCACCTCTGCTGTTCACAGCCTTTACTCCTAACAGCCTCTGAGGTTCACCTTCAGGGCACTGTGGCCTTTGATCCTCAATGCTAAAGATATGCAAACAGGTATAAACAGCTTTACTCTTAACAAGCTCAGTAAGATTTTCATTCTTGACTCATTCACTCACCTGTTTAGTGACAAGTCATGATCAATGAGAATGAGTGGAGAAATCTTAAAGTGCTTTCTGAATGCCCAGATACTGATCTTTGGGTCTCAGTTTTCTATAAGGCACTGTTCTAGGTGGTTGAGATATACCAGTGAACAGAACACACAAAGATCCCCTGTTTTTAAAGGGGCTGACATTCTAGTAGAGGGAAACAATAAACGTTAAGTTAGTTACATGGCATGATAGAAGGATTTATGTGTAGTACAAAAAAAAAGCAAAGTCAAGAAGATCAGAACTGTCCGGGACTAGTTTTAAAGATATCAGTCAAGGGAGGTTTCAATGATAAGATGACACTTGACCAAAAGCCTCAGGAAGTAAAGATTGGAGCCCCCTGGAGTCAGGCAGCACTGCCTGGTGGGATTCCCACAAACACGCAGAGGCTTGCCTTGGACTGTGGGGAGCTTCCTGCCTGAATGCCTCTAACCTGCTGGAGAGCCGAGAGCTCTGGCAACGTCCCTGTCTACTAGCAGCAAAGTTGATAAAAACTGGGAGATAACTTAGCAAATATTACATTTTTTAGTAATTTTTAAACCCTTAAATCTTATTTAAAATCACTAGAAATCAAAATATTTTAGACATTTTGTTATAAACTAGTCTATATGTGGTTTATAGCAATTAATAGTTGGTCCATAATATGTATTAAATATAACATATTAAGTGAAATAAAATCTTACCTTAAACTCTGGAAAATGGGGAAATAATCTGATACACATTACCTTAAGACTTGTCTATGGAAAACGTCCAATTCCCTTTGCCTGCAGGATAAAGCCCATACTTTTCAGCATGGCCCACAAAGCCCTCCAGAACTCAGCCCCACATACCCAGAGCCTGCCTTTCCTAATCAGTGGCTCCTGGCTCAGGCTGCTCCCAACATCAGACAAAACACATGTTTTTGTTTAAAGTGTCACCTTTTCTGATCGCCTCTCAGGCATCAGGCAGAAATGGCCACTCCCACTCTTTGGCCCCATACACACAACTGTCATAGAGCTTGTTCTGTTATATTTGTTTTCTGCTCAATTATTGTAGAATGTCAACCTCTTAAGGACTAGGACCTTGTCCCTTTATATTGGTACCCTCAGGACCTAGTACAGTGCTGGCACATAGTAGATTTTTAATAATATGGCCATTGTGGATACAGTTCTCATTTGTTACCTGATTGATTATCAAACAGGATTCTGCTTACTAGAAGTATGTAATGCTGTAGCCTGGACAGGCAGAACTCAGCGAGTTTGCTGAGGAAGTTAACTGAGATCTTGCCTCATAGTTGGAAATGATCCCTAATCTCTTGTGCTCCCTATGAGGGCATCCCTCAGCAGTGGGCAGCTCGGTTGTGGGACCTTTACTTCAGAAGACCTGATGGGCTTAGTTGCTCACTGAATTTTTCTTGGCCAATTAATCCACCTATTTCCAAACCCTTTCTGCTTCCCCCCTCATTCAAGTAAAACCATTCCTTAAAAAATGTTATTCCTAGCCATTGCCTCACCAGAGACATGAAGAATGCAATTAGTGCCTGCAGGATAACAAGGCAGCCTCCGAAAGGTCAAGCACTTATCAATAGAATTACAGGACTTCAGATCTATGAACAGCCTTGCCTTACTCCTTTGTTGTTTACAGGATTCACCTGTATTAAATTGAGTACAACTGATTACAGGCCAGCCCTGGGGGGAGAATTATATTTGGGGTAAGCAAATTCTCATCAGTAATGATCAGTGGTAGATACATGAGGTGGTTCTGGCAATGAAACAAAAGGAAGTCTGTGAGGATACTCCCAGGAAAGAGTTCACTTCTTGATAAAAGGAGAGGGACCCATGAGGAGAGCTATACCCCATGCCCATCTCTTTCTGCTTTGGATGCTCTTGTGAGAGGCTGTTATGCCTAGGGCTGCAGCAGCCATTCTGTAAAAGATGGACAAGCCTGAAGACAAAGCGAATGGCAAAGAGCCCAGGCCCTTGAAGACGTCTTTGAACCAGTACACCAACCCTAGAGCTATTGTGGCTCCATATTCTATTGGGTTGTCGGAAAAGTCATGATGTATTTTTTCTGTTTTTCGTTGCAAAAATGTGTCATGACTTTTCCGATAACCCAGTAGTTCAAGAGATAATTAAATGCCTTGATTGCTTAAGCCACTGTTACCTGCAGTCAAAAGCATATTCATACAAACTGGAAGGAACTTTTATTTCTAGTCCAACCTCTCTTATTTTACAAATAAGGAAACAAAGACAAAGTCTTTGAGTGACAAAGGCAACATAAGAACCGAAGACCAAAGCTAAGTCAGGACTCTCAGGCCTGTGTTCCTTGCACCATGTTATACTGCTTCTTTTACTTGACTTTTTAAAAAAGCAATATTGTACATGGAGGACTCACAGGGGGTGGCTTCCCACTACAGTTAAAAACAACATCTGGAATCCACCCACATCTGAACTTGTCAAAACTGCTGTATCCTGCACATGTGAAAAACTACTTTATGCTAAACTGTCTTAGATAAGGAAAAGCAGCTGATTCCATCAGGGAAGCAGTTGGTCACAGCTCTGAATCCCCATCACAGCTTTTCTTCCCTGTTGGTTCATTATTTCATTCAGAGTTCTTTCTTTGTACCATGTACTCTGCTAGGCACTAGAAACAATCACAGCCCTCATGGGTTGTAAAACTAATGGAAGAGACAAAATAAGTAAACACACAAATGTGTAATTACAAATCAAAATGAATTTGGCCAAACCAAAATGGGATGCAGATAAGAGAAAACAGGAAGACCTTGGACATGGGACATCTCTTAAGCAGAGCTAAAGGCTGAGAAGGGGTGAAAAAAATTGAAAAGTGAAGAGAAGAGCATTCCAGGCAGAAAGGACAAAGTGTAAGGCTTTTCACAGGAAAGGATTTTACTTTCCTAAAGAAGCAAAAGGAAATGTGAACGAACGTAAGATGAGAGGGGAGTCAGTTCATAAGCATAGGAAGAAATCTGGATTTTGATAGTCAAAGTGCAGTGGGAAGTTCTAAAGGTGTTGAAGCAGGAGAATGGTATGATTTATGTTTTATAAAGCTCACAGTGTGGAGACTGAATTTTAGGGGAGCAAAAAGAAAAGAAGATCAGTTAGGGAACACCTTTTGGTGGTTAATTCAAGAAAATATCTTGACTTGGACCAGGGTGACAGCAGAGATGGTGCAAATAGATACACACTTTGGAGGTAGAACCAGCAGGTCTCGAAGATGGATCAGATGTAGGATGATGAAGAGTCAAGGATGATTCCCAGGGCTTTGTCCTCCAATGTATTAAAATTTAATACTGAAACTATTAAAGCAAAGACTGGGTTGCAAGGAGATTAAGATCAAGAGAATGGTGGTGGTTACTATCCTGATGATCAGTAGAAAGAGAGAAGATGCAGGAAAAAAAGGTAAGATTACTAAAAAAACAAAGAATCTAAGGAGGTCGGAGGACGTAGAGACCAGGGCACATGTGGAGGGACACTTCTCTGCTGTGGCAAGAGAAAGAAAGGACAGGGCTGATGCAGGGAGGTGAAGGTTGTGGGGTGAGAAGACGAGGGCAGCATCCCCTTGGATAGCTGTTATTCCGAGAAGTATGAAAAAATCATCACCTAGAAGACTAGGACACTTGAGTTGTCTCAAGGAGTGGAAAAGGGAGCTTGCTAGAAAAGTATAGCAGATTGCCTTTGTGGTTTTGAGGGTGGTGTGGCTTTTGTTGACCAGGTGCAGGCTGGACTATGGGAATCAAAGGCAAGGAAGAGGGAGAGAAAGACTGAGGAGACAAGAGAATTGAAATCAGGTACAGAACACTCAAGCTGGGTGGCCGGTGCAGTCAGCAAGAATGATGACAGCACTGGGGATGGCAGCGGGGGTAGGGGGGTGGGGAGGAGTGGGTTTGGACAATGGGAACTTCAAAGGTTCAGGTCTTTTGCAGGAGTGAAGGGTATACTACTCTGGAAAGGAGAGTGGAGAGAATCAAGAAAAAGAGCTCTAGCCCAAGTCCCCACCTGAGGCCCAAGGTACAAGAAAGGGAGCAGTGTCCTTGTGGGGGAGGGCCAGATCTCAGTCAAGGCCAGGTGGTGGAGGGAACCTTCAGAGAAGAGGCTGAGAACATAGGAATTTGGCGATGTCCCAGAGAACACAGTTCTTAAAAAACTGAGTTGGGATTTTGGGTCCCATCAGCCAAGAGGTATATAGAGCATTGTGGGGTTGGAAATAAATTCAGTTATTTTCTAAGGACCTGAAATACTTGGCTAAAGCTGAAATATCCAACCCACATCTATATTTTCATCTTTAATATATTAATGGCACTTGAAGCTTTAAGTAAAAAAGTAAAAGTTCATCATCCATTTCTTCATCTAAAACAAGTTCTTCCTAATTTCCTAACCTGCAGGTAAGTTTCCCATTCCAGCAGCCTTTGAACTATATGACCAAATGCCAGAGTTTGGAGACACATACCTGCAGACACCCCCCACCCCCACCCCTAGCTGTGCAGAACTCAGAGCTTCCCCGGCCTGAGCACCTATGGGACTCATCAAGCTACTGGCTCATACCTCCCACTCAGTGCATGCCTCAGGAGGTCAGAGCTGCTGTCTCCAGTTTGCAGATGTGGAAACAAGCTCACAGAGGTTGAATTATTGGCCCACTGCCCCTAAATTGCAGTTAGGACACAAACCCAGTCTTATCTGACTCTGATTTTGCCAAAAGCAGTCATTTCCCTAGGTTCCTAGGTAGGGCGCTTCTCACAAATCCCAGCT